ATAGATCACTTTTCTTTTACAGTAGCTATTTTCAAAAGCAATAGGGTTTAAAAATCTTCTTGCCCAGGGTAGAAAAAGTACTGAGCTTGGATTTTCTCTCTTTCAGCAGCACTTCTCTTGGAACAGTTAATGGCCTCTGAGCCAGTTTTCTCCTCCGTAAAATGGGACTAATGATGATACCTGTCTCAGGATGGTCCGGTCGATTAAGTGGGGGAGATGGGAAATAATTCCACCAACACTCAGCCCCTTTCAAAATATCAGATTAGTGCCTGTGTGTCAAAGCTTCCGGTTCCTTTCTTGGCTTAAAGCTTCGTCTTCAGGCGCCTCCACCTCTTCTAGCTGGCTGCCAGAGTCATCTTTCTGAGACACAGATCAGATCTTGCCAGTCTCTGGCTCAGAAGGCTTCTAAGACTGCCTGCTGACCAGAGCATGGAACCCAGGCTGGACCCACCAGCATCCCATCCAAGGCCCCTCATGGCCTGTCCCAGTCGTCTCTGAGCTTCACCTGTCCTGCTTTGGATGACTCTTGGTTCTCGGAGCTGCCAGGCTGGTCTTCCCTTCTTTGCTTATCGCCTTTGCTCTGTTTGGAATGCCTGTCTCTCTCCCATCCCCTCCAGTCCTTAGAAGCCCACATCTGATTTTATGTCCCCTCTGGAGTCCTTTGGAAATCCTGTAAAAATGAATTACTCATTTCTGCAGCCACAGTCCTTTGTTTACACTTTCATTATTGCTTGTATCTTGTTGTGTTGTGTGTGTTAAACTCTGGCTGTGGAGACCATGTTGTTGTTTACCCCCAGCACCTTGCTCAGGTTTAAACATGGAAGTGTTCAGATGTTTGCTGAAGTCCGTAATCCACCTTATGTAGTGTATTATTATGAAGTATGTTAATAACCAACATCACAGCACCAGCCACAACATTCGAAATGCAGTTATACTGTGTTAATACTTAGAATATTTCTTTTCAGTTATTTTTGGCCTCTCACATGATACCAAGTGGGATCTTTATACAAAGTACAAACCACCACCTCCCATCTGTCTAAACTCTGAGGATCCTGAGCCTATGCTGCTGCCTGAAGTCGCTGCACCTGTCTCTAGGGAGGGGGACGGGGGCCCAAGTTTGAAAGATGCCTTACCTTTGAAGTGTAATTGTACTCCCAGAAGATTTCATGTTTTTCTTTTTTATTTATTTATTTATTAAAATGCTTTTTTTAAAAAAAAGATTAATTACACTAATGAAGAAGTAACCTGCACTTGCGGGACTATTTAAAGAACACTCGACCTGTATTTGAGAGACTCAGTTTGTGTCTTGGCGCAGCTCTTGCCCTGGGTCACTGTGGGCAGTCGGTTGCCTCTCTCTTGGACTTGAGTTCCTTTATTCTGTGAAATGAGAACAGTCTTGTCTGTGCTATTTTTGCTTTGTAGCGTCAGTTAAAGTGGCCATATTTTGTGTCCTGCGTGCCCTGGTTCACAGCACATTCGTCCTTCTCATTGCCCAGGCTGGGAACTTTGAGTCTTCCCTTTCTCGACCAGATTTTTAACCCGTCTGCCTCCACCTGTCTTTTCCATCAGCCTTTACCCAGGGTAGCTCTGCCCTGCCCTCTGCGGGCTCTTGTCAGCCCTCGCTGGATTGTTACTGTAGGCCTGCTGACTGGCCTCCCTTCCTCCTGTTCTTTCACCAGGATGACTGAATACGTAAATCAGACCAGAGCCTACCTTCCCCTAGGTGTACCAGAGGTTCTCAGCATGCCCCATCCCATCACACCTGAGGGAGAGGACCTAGTTCTGCTGGTCGGTGCACTCCTACAAAGATTTCACCTTGGAGGCACTGCCGCCTGGTCCTAGTTGAGAATTAATGTTGAAGGGTTAGGAAATCATTCTAAGACCTTGTGCCGCCTGGCCTCACTCCAGCCCTGAGCTTGATGCCTGACTGCATCTCCTCACCTTGCATTTCAACACTGGGCCTCTGGCTGCTTTCATGGTGGTATGTCCAGCTCCTTTTCTCTGGAATGTCCTTGCTGCCTTTTCCTGCCTGTCAGGATCCTTAATGCTGAAGGTTTGGCTTAAATACCCTTGCTTCAGTGAAAGAGTGCCCCCTGGCTTTCAGGATGGACTCCTTCTGCCACGCAGTGCTCAGCTGGGGCCTCTACCTAGTGTTTCCTTTGACTTCTTTTAAAAATATATACCTTTATTGATTTCAGAGAGAGGAAGGGAGAGGGGGAGAGAGAGAGAGGGAGAAACATCAATGATGAGAGAGTCATTGATCCATCGGCTGCCTCCTGCATGCCCCCTGCTGGGGATCAAACCTGCAACCCCGGCATGTGCCCTCACCGGGAATTGAACCACGGTCTCCTGGATCCTCAGTCAATGCCCAACTGCTGAGCCACGCCCAGCCACGCTCCTTTGACTTTTTTATTAAGTCTTTACATGGAGGTCTTTCCTGGGTTATAAACTGAGGGAAAAGAGGAAAATCTTACCCTTTGCTGATTCTCGCTAATGTGCAGTGTAGCCTTTCACATAGTACTTACCATGGAATGTTTGCATTCACTCATTTATCCTACAGTCTCTGACTTCAGCAGAGGGAGAGTAGGTTGGAGCTTTCTGTGAGAGCTTCTCGAATCCATCCCCCTGACACTCGAACAGGGCCCAGCACATGTAAGTGCTCAGTGAAGATGATGGCGGCTTTTAGCTGTTGGTTGGAGCAGGTGTAGGAACACGGGTGGTTGGGTAAGTTGATTGGTTATACACCTTTTGCTGGTTTGCTGTAACAGTGTTCATGGGTTTATTTCTGGCACGTGTGTGTAAAAAAAAAATTGGTCTCTCCAGCTGCACCTCTGTTTAACTAGTTTGGGAAAAAGAAGAAAAGTGAGTGGTTGGAGAGAGTTTTTCCACAAGTAGATTCGTGATGGTCCACAGTTCTGAAGATGACAAACCTGACTGTAGGCGAGGCAGTTTCTTTTGCATGTGGCTCATGTGGAAAATGGAAATTATCATATTTTACACTGTATATTACTTTTCAGTAAAACAAATGTTTCCATTTTAATCTTACATCTTGAAATAATTCATTAAGCAACAGAGTCTCTGTACTTTGTACTTGTAATGACTGGAAATGGAAAGTCTGTTTTGACGTCATCTCCAAGGCTTTTTCCCTGAACTAGGCTTTCTCTGCATCCCTCTGACTCTCTCTGGTCCGCAGTCTACCCCTGACTGGAGTGGGAGAAACTAGGTGAGGAAACCAGCTATAATTTGGAAACTTTTAATTCATTAGTTGTTATTTTTCAGCTTATATGCATCACTTATTAACAGGTTGTATCCAGAAACTTTAAAAAGTGCTCTCTGTTGGTTCTAAAATAATATGGAATTCCTACTTGCAGCAACACAAGAATATATACTAATTGCTATTTAACGTACATTGACTATGATTATGAGCTGAAAAAAAATAATTGGAAAACTATATATTCCTAATAAACTGTTAAGACTTGCCCCAGCCTAGCCACGCCTGGCTCAGTGGTTGAGTGTCAGCCTAAGATCCAGGAGATCGCAGTTCGATTCCCAGTCAGGGCACATGCCTGGGTTGTGGGCTTGATCCCCAGCAGGGAGCGTGCAGGAGGCAGCTAATCAATGACTCTTTCATCATTGATGTTTCTATCTCTCTCTCTCTCTCTCTCTCTCCCTTCCTCTCTCTGAAATCAATGAAGATATATTAAAAAAAAAAACTTGCCCCAAAGAATGGGGGATGATAGGACTAAAGGATTATCTCAGTGAATGAACTAGCATCTGTGTTAGCAATTAAAAAAATTAATCATTGCAGACATGCTTGAGAATGTTTTGTGCTGTGTGTGTGTGTGTCTAGCTAGAGTGATGAAGGAATGAGAGCTCTGTGGATGCAGGCGCTGCTTGTGCGCGCATGTGGGATTCTTTCCTGACCTGAGTGAGCCTGGGCACTGTGTGCCTGGAGTATTTAATTTATGGTGTTTGGTGCAGGGGATTGGCCGCTCAGGACATATGGAATTGAAACAAGTCTATCCCTATGGAGAAAAAATACATGGAGATAAATAAGTGTAAAGAAATATGCCTCAGTGCCTTTTCAAAATTGTTTTGGGGGGTTAATGGTTGTTGCCTCAGTAATGGGAGGGATTTACTTTCCCTCAGCCAGGGGTTTGTTTCTAGCTCATTTTCCAGAGTACCTTTGGAATCTTAGTAGCCAGTACAGAGCTATTTCAAAATTGTCTGCCCTGCTTGGGGATTTATTCAAGCTCTTTGCTTTCTTTTCAGTTACCAGCCTTTCCTTAGTTGTCTGATGAACACTTTGCTCCTTGTCACCATCTTCCCTGACGATTTTTTAATTGAGAGGAAGTTGAAATTGTATCGACACGTATTTTATCCTTTGTTTTTGATGGTGGTGGTGGTTCCTCGCTGCTGCTTTCTTTGGTTAATTGGCTACTGATAGTATTTTGAAGAATTTTTTTGCTATTACTAGCCAAGGAGTTTTTTGTTTTTATAAAATGTAAAGCTTAATTTAAAACTGTTAAAGTATATTTGTATTACTTACCAAAGCATTGTTTTGAATATAAGTAATTGTTATAAAGCCCATATATTTATTTATTTAAAAGCCTGAAGATGATGGACTCATGATTTATTTATTTATTTATTGTAATCTTCATCTCAGGATATTTTTTCCATTTATTTTTAGAGTGGAAGGGAGGGTGGGGGGAGAGGAAAAAACACCAATGTGAGAGAGACACATCCACTGGCTGCCTCCCACATGCACCGCGCCTGGGCTGGGGATGGAACCTACAACCCAGCTACGTGCCCCTGACCAGGAATTGAACCCGAGAGCCTTCTGTGTGGGGGCCAACACTCTTAACCACTGCGCAGTACTGACCAGGGCTTTATGTTATTTTTTTAATCTTCACCCAAGGACGTGCTTAGGGAGAGGAGAGAGGGAAACAGCGATGTGAGAGAGACATGGATTGGTTGCTGCCCGCACGCCCTGACTGGGGACGGAACTGGCTGCCTTTGGGTGCACAGGATGATGCTCGGCCAACTGAGCCAGTCCCGCCAGGTGAGCCTATTTTTTTTCTTTTAAAGTATATGTTTAAAAAAAAATCTAAAAGGGAAGTAAAGTATAGGATGAAAAGTAAACCTTTACCCCCCTTCCCATCCTGTACTCATCTTGAAAACCACTGTTTCTTGGATGTCATAGAAAAAAAATTATGCCTATACTTGTAAAAAGTGGAGTAGTATTAGAGTGTTCTGTGTTTAAACAAACACTACACTTAGTCTTGGGGTGCTTTCCTTATCAGACACACAGATCTACTTCATGTACAGTCCACTTCACTGCTTTGTTTATGACCTGAGTATTCCATTGCACGAACGTGCCGGAGCTTTTCCACTGGCTGGTGGGAGGGGCGTCTGTGTTGCTGCGACTGTAACAGTGCTGCCATGAGCGTTCACATACGTGTCCTGTGAATTTGCTGCCTGTGAGTCCCACTAAGGCACACAGGTCATGCTTGAGGTTTTTGTAAAAATTGCTAAAGTGAAATCCACATAACGTCAGTGTATATCTTCTTGAAAAACTCCGTAATAATCTAGAATGCCACAAACTTAAAGCATTTTTTAAAGGGGCCTTAGCTTTAAGAAGTTGGTACTTGCCCGGCCGGCGTGGCTCGGCTATTGAGCATCGACCTAGGATCTAGTAGATGGGGTTTGATTCCCGGTCGGGGCACATGCCTGGGTCACAGGCTCCATCCCCAGTTGGGGGCCTGCAGGAGGCAGCCCATCAGTGACTCTCTCATCATTGATGTTTCTCTCTTTCCCTCTCCCTTCCTCTCTCTGAAATCAGTAAAGATATATTTAAAAAAAAAAAAAAAAGTTGGTACTGGACTGCAGTTTTAGGTTTTATATTGCTTTGGTTTTGAGTTTTTTTTAAAGGTTACTCTCTTGAAGCTTTAGGGAAACAGCCTAAGTTTCAGAGTCTTAACGATACCCAACTGTGATGAGACTTCACTTTTTAAAATCTAGTAAATAAACTCAAATCCCATCATTAGAAATGAAAATGAAGTTTATTCGTAATTGAACAAGGGATTCACTAGTGGGCATATAGGATTATTTTGCTTTATTTCATTAAAAATGATCAGAAGTCATGGGAGAAGGAAAGGCAAAGGGTTCTTAGACCTGGCTGCAGACATGGGGAGCAGCAGGAGGAGCTCCCCCCGTTAGAACAGCTCCTGTGTCAGGCCATGTGGTGGGGCCGCAGGTAACCTGTCAGTTTACCCTCTTGACAGCCCTTGAGAGAGGTGATGTGATCTTCATTTTATAAGCAGTAAAACTGTGGCTCAGAGGTCTCGAGCAGGCACCCAAGCTTCTGTCCTTGCAACATAAGGGGCATGTTCTTTCCTCTGCCCTCTTCCTAGAGGTCCATTCGTTCACATAGTACTTGTTGAGCGCCTGCTTTGTCCATGGCGCAGATGCCAAGATGATCATACGTGCAGGAGATTTACTGGGGGAATTACCTGGGAAGGGACAGAAGGAAGGAAGGGCAGGAGTGCATAGGAAGTGGCTGTGAAAGGAGAGAGGAGACAAGGACTGGGTGGCAGCGGCCTCCGGCCGGGGCAGTTCTGAGGACGTTTTGGCCAAGCCGATAGGGCGTCTGCCTCGGGCAGACAGGCCTGGGTCTAGTGACCATCTCTGATCAGCATTGCTGCGGGCAGCCTGGGAGACTTTTGGCCTGATGTCCTTTCTGTGCTGATGCTGAATGTGCAGCAGCCAGAGGCTGTCAGCTTGGCTCCCCATGGCAGGCTCTCTTGAAGGGCCACCTGAGTGGGGTACCCACAGCCACCCCATGCAGCACTGTTCTGTCCTGGGAAGGCTGGGGCAAGGCTGACAATATGAGTAAGCAGTGGCTGTGCATGTCAAGTGAAGATTCACGCTGAGAGGAAAAATAGAGCAGGAGTGGCGGTGTTGTGTTATACAGGGTGGACAGGGCAGGGCTCTAGTCAGGTGACACTTGAGCGGAGACCTGAAGGAAATAGGGAGAGAGACGTGAGGACAGCTCAGGAGCACAGCGGCATTTCAGGGGGAGGTCAGAACAAGCGGGGACCCCGATTCTGGGTGCGTTGTGAAAGTAGAACTAGGATTTGCCGATGGGTTGGATATGGCATGTGAGAGGAGGCGGAGACAGTATGGTGCCAAAGCCTTTGGCTTGAGCAGTGGAACCATGGAGTTGCCCTCGGCTGACCTTGGGAAGGTAATGGCAAGGATGGTGGTGTTGAGAATTCAGAGTTTGTGTTTTATTTAAAGACACGTTATAAGTTGAGATGCCAGTTAGATACCTGACTGTCTAGTAGCTTGATGGCGCTAGAATTCTGGGGTTCATGAGAGAGAAGCAGAGTAGAGATAAAGTTTGAAGTACTCGCGACATGGGTAGTATTTGAAATCATGGGACTGGAGCTCGGTTAGGACTGTGCTGTTCAGTAAGGTGGCCGTGAGCCATATGTGGCTTTTGAGCACTTGAGATGAGGATGTTTGTATTTGAGCTGTCACAGTTCAAATACACACCAGATCTCAAAGACTTAGTATGGGAAAAAGAATGTAAAATAGCGTCGGTAATCTTTCACCTGGACTATATTTAGAGAGATAATATTTTGGATATATTGAGTTAAGTAAAACATATAAAATTAATTTCGCTTGGTTTTCTTTTTTACTGTGGGTACCAGAAAAATTTAAATTACATAGGTCTGGCTCAGATTTTGCTGTTGGATGGCACTGATGGAGGAAGCCAGCGGGGAGCAGGGGAAGGTGGGCACCAGGGCAGAAGAGTGATAGTAGTTGTGGTCGGTGGGCAAGTTAGCTTTCCTGAAGCTTCCCTAGAATTTGGGTAAAAGAAACGTGTCGGAGCGTGGGGCTGACTGCTCTGTAGTAGGTGGGATCAGCCCTTGAGACGTGAATGAGTCTTGGGGATGGTCTGTGGGATGGGGATCTCTCCCTTTACTGTTTTTTTTGAAATGAGTCCCATCAGGACAGAGTGAGGCCTGTTCACCGTCAGCTGCATGAGCCACTCTGTAGAATTAACATGTGTGGCAGGAGGAGAGACACACACTTAGCAGACCTGATGCCAGGCGCAGGTGCTGGTCAGCCACTTTCAGCGCCTTGGTCTCGGGGGTTTCCTTTCAGCTTGCTGCTTCACTTGATGAAATCACCCTAAGAATACCTACCTTTCTGTTTCTGATGCTAAGCTTGGAGGGTACCCTTTAATGTTCAGTTAGGCCCCTTGAGCGAACTTAGCTATCATGAGGGGAGGGCTCTGTGGCACCGTGTATTAGCTAAACTTAGTGTGGTTTTCTGGTGTATGTATGGGTCAGTGTGATTCGCACCCCCAGCCTACCTTCTGTCTCATCATTGCCCAGGGACCCAGAGCTGAGGAGCAGGTGTGGGCCCTTCACTGACCATAGGTCTGAGGACCTTCCAGGGGCCACTCCTGGGCTGCTTTTTCCTGTGCTGGTAGCTGTCTCCGTAGAGTGTCAGGGGAATGTGTTTCTCCTTAGACTTTATACTTCCCTGCATTTCACCCTCCCATGTTGGAAAACACGTTGGACATTTAGGAACAGTGTTTATGACAGTTTTCCTCACCCTGCGATAGGCTCTGTCATGGAAACGAACTTGCGCGGGCCTTGCCAGGCGGGCAAAGATTACCCTGAAACGGATCAGGTAGCATCCTGCAGTCTGCGGGTCAGCTGGTCTTGCTGTCTCTCGGGCCTGGGGCTCAGGTCTCTCAGCTTCTCAGAATGCCTCCAGGCGTGTCGGGACAGGGAGCAGTAATGGCCAAACCAGAAACTGACTCAGAAGGATATGCTGAATGCAAAGGCAAAAGGCTTTGCGTTGATCCTTCAAAATGGTACACTGGCTAGGCTGCGAGTTAGGTGGGAGGGTGGGAAAGGCACATTTTTGGAGCTACACCCACAGTGGCCCTGGGCTTGACTGGCTGTGGGACCTTGAATACGTGTTTGAGCTTCTTAATCCATAAACTGAGGAGGTTTGGCTCAGCTCAGTGTTTTTTCATGCTGTGAAAGCAGTGTTTGGTCCAGAGTGGGCTCTCAGGTATGTGATGGACGGACGGACGGATGGATGGGAGATCTGGAGAGTCTAGATACTGAAGGCAGGGGTGGGGAGGTGGGTGTCTGGGCAGTTCCCTCACGCTTCACCGGTGCCGCTCTAACCTCGCTCAGGTACAGTACTGGGTTCTTCTACTTTGAGAAGTGTTGGAACAGCAGGTTAGGTGCCTCTGAGTGTGAAGTTGGCATGCTGCTTTTTTTAACCCTCACCGAGGATATGTTTTTATTGATTTTGAGAGAGAGAGAGAGAGAGAGAGAGAGAGATTGATGGGTTGTCTCCAGTACTTGCCCTGACCTGGGATTGAACCCACAACCTTTTGGTGCACAGGATGGCGCTCCAGCCAACTCGGCCACCCAGTCAGGGCGCCAGCCGCATTCTTTCTCCTCACTGTCACATCCCTGTGTACCAGCGATTGTCAGCCTTTTCATCTGTTGGCCACGTAATCTCATTACTAAAATTCCGCAACGTGCCAAAAAACTATTTTGCCTATCCGACAAAAAAATAGGTGTAACTTTGATTCATTCCCACCAGCCAGCTGTGGTGGTCATGTTGGCCTTTGTCGGTTTTTATTTGACAGTCTAAGGGAAGTGAGGTCAGGGGCCCTAAGTAGTCAGGTATTTCATGTTTTAAAAGTTCTCGCAGCTCACTGGTTGGAAATCGCTGATCTATGCTTTTTATCAAGATAAACGTCCCAGGGGAGTGAGGGGGTTCCTGTGGATGCAGCGTGGGAGGTGCTGCAGGGGCCTGCACTGTGCCCTGGGGCTGCTGGAACGGTGCAGACCCGGCTCAGAGCAGAGTCCTCACCCAGGCTGGAGGCCAGAGGTCTGAGATCCAGGTGTCCCCAGGGTTGGTTGCTTCTGGGGATGCTGGGGAAGGGCCTGTTCTGTGCCTCTTTCCTGGCTTCTTTGTTTAGCAGTCATCTTTGGCGTTCCTTGGTTTGTGGGCACACAC